GATATCAGGAGGCGCAACTTCACGGTCAGGGCAGCTAGGATCTGGAACCAACTTCCAAGAGAAGTGGTGCTGGCTCCTACCCTGGGGGTCTTTAAGACGAGGCTTGACAATCACCTTGCTGGAGTCGTTTGACTCCAACACTCTTTCCTGCCATGGCAGGGGGTCAGACTTGATGATCTGCTCAGGTCCCTTCCAACCCTCCTAACTATGAAACCTCACAATGGAGGGCATAGAAAAATGCGCATTAACTTATTTTTAATGTGCATTAGCTAAAGAACACTTTTTTGTAACACTTTAATGGACATTGAAATAAGCTAATGCTTATTAAAGCGCACGTGCAGACGTGCCCAATGATTTTTAGCTGGTTTGGTGATATCTTGGGCTGAGTTCCAGGTGTTCTACTTGGGCAAAACTCATGTTGAAGTTAGAAGCTTTTTGGAGGGGTACACATGTTAAATTCTGGTTGTGACAAATGAACGCCAAAACCCAGACGCTACACAAAAAATGCAAGGCTGTGTTACAAATTCAGAGATTCTGCCCATATTTGTTGTGAACTTAAGCTTTAACCTTTTTTTACAACCTGAGAAATTAAAAAAAATATTCACACGGTGAAGATAAATAGATTTTAAGGCCCCTAAAGTGTCTCTTTGATCATTTACCCTCATCTGCTCCTTAACATAGACGATTGAAATTCACACAGACGTTCCTGCAGTGAAGGGAATTTATTCTTTCTCTCTACATCTGTGAAACATTATCAAGCTAGACAATCTTGTGGTTGAGTTGGAGCTTATCATTTAACATGATCATCTAATCTTGGTTTGAATGTAGGACTGCAAGCTTACATGTTAAATGTCAAGGTACAGATAGAGATATCAAACTTCATAGCATAACTTTAAGTGTGGATGCTTGGAAACTTAACTCTTCTAGTCCTGTGAGCATGTTCCTGATAGGTTTAGTTACACACTTTGAAACAAAATCATTTTTCGTGCAAGACTTTATTTTCAGTCAAATTGGAAACAACCAGTGACAAGCAGATGAGCCATCCATCTTCATTAGCTTTTTAAAATTGGAATGTGCTACTGACGTTGCTATGAATTGTTATCCATTTTAGCTGTATTTATTAGCATATCGACACTGATATGATTTCCATTACGTCTGTCTGGTCCCTGCACTGACACTGAGATCCCTCACATCTTTGTTTTTGGTTTTGTTTGTATTTATAATTTTTATTTCCCCTTTCTTGCTGGTTTTTCACAGGTTACAATTTGGTTAGTGAAGTCATAGGAGCTTCTGATCTACTTCTGTTGTTAGGTGTGTAAAAGCCCTTTTTATTGCCCTTAACATGCCTCTTTAGTTATTTAAATATTGATATCCTAAGAGGGGATGAATAAGTACAAGTGCAGTTTATTGCTGCAATTTCATTTTGAATTGGAAATACTTAACAGCAACAGTTTTGGTAAAACTCAGTTCCTACAGAGACAAAAGCCAGTGCTTCATTGTCCGAAGCCTAAAGAGATATCTTTATTTCTTGCATTTTTCAGAAGCTTGCTCAGAAAAATTATTTAAAATCTGCAGGAATATTTTTTTTTTCTCATCATAAATGGTAATTTGTCCCATCATGATCATTTCGTCAGAAAAAAATGTTGTAGAACTTAAACAGTCTAATTGAAGTTGCCTATTACCTTTTATAATAGTCTGTATAGTTTGAAGTATAAGCAAGATTTAATACACTTGTCTTCATAAATGGATTTTAATCTCCCCCCCTCCCCAGTTTCCGTATATATTGATTGTAATCTTTGGAATAATTGCAGCTTCAAAGAGATAATTTGTATAATAAATACATTGGTACTTGTACTATAATTTGAACTTGAAATTAGCTAGTTGTAGTTTTGGGTTTTGAAAAGGCTGTTTGTGATGTTGGAGTAAGTTTCTGTAACTTTTTCCCAGGTACCCCAGGGGAAACAGCATTCAAAGCTACGGACCAGGGCTATGACAATGACAAACAGTACAAGAAGGTAAATAGAAAGAAAACTTTGCAATCGTAAGGCTTTAAAAGCTTAAATGGGTATTTTCAATTACATTTAATTGAAAATAAGCCTTCACTAATAAGCAGTAAAAGTCTTAAGGGAACCAAATGGAATTTATAGCTGAAACAGCATGCAGCTACAATGATTAAACATTTGGGCAGAACAGAAAGAGCAATGCAGTGTCACTAAGGCAGTCTCTAGAACTGTGGATTGGAATGGGCATGTTAAGTACATTTTAAGTGTACTGTATTCCCCTGACATTTTGGGGAGTCTGCTCTTGCCAGGACTTACTGCTTCTAGCTCAGAAGTGAGGCCTTAATGTTTAAAACTCGCAGGGCTTTATCATGCATGTGCTCTAATTGTACCTCTTACAGTACTGAGTCTTATAACTTTCTTTGTTTAAACAGTACATATCAAATTTTGCATTTATCTTTTTCTTATCAACACATAGCACAACTTTTTTAAAATGTGTATTAGTATACTTTGAAGTGAGAAACGTAAATCTTAGTATTCACATTTCTTATTCACAGATCTTTTATTAAAACTATTTACTCCCAAATGGCAACTCTGAATATTTAATTTCATAGTTGGTCTTGTTTTTTCATTGCACACTTTCAAAATTTATGAACAAACCAGAAAGAGAACTTATGCATGTTGGGAACTTTTATTGTAAAAAATTAGTAGCTTATACATTTACAATCAATACAGTATCTGCCTTGCAACTGGAAATATTTCTGTTGTTCCAGTGCTAGCAAAACTAAAAAAAATGACGTATTTTAAACATGTTTTGATGCATGCAGGCATGTATACATGTGTGCTACATTTTTACTGCATTTACAGATACAGTGAAATCTGTACAAGAGATCACCACTTGTTAGGTAGCCTGCTATTTTAGGGTAACCTCAAAGTCTACATTTGAAATAATTGCAGTTTTGTTTCCCAGTTATTAGAAAACTGTCCTTTTTTTAGGAACTGATTTGCTGTCTGTTTTGAAGTTTTGCTCAGGATAGATTTCACTGTTTAAAAATTAAAATTGGATTGAAGTAAAGGTCATCTTACCTATTACATATGGGAATTTAAATAAGATGTTTTCATATATATTTGACTATTTTGTATGTAATGTATGCTTATGTAACTTGATTTCCAAATGTAAATTCGTAAGTAGTACTAAGACTGTAGCTGGTTATAATGGGTAATTTCTAATAAATATACATTGAATGTGGGTTTTTTTCTTCTCAAATTTTCTGCAAAGAAAAAGTATTGGTTTTGTGTAAAACTATTAAGCAATTGTAACACTGACCAACTTATTTGACATCCAGTGTCAAGTTCATATAAAGATCCTGAGTTCATATCCAGAGATCTTTTTTCCTGTGCCTGTTGCTAGTTCAATCCAGTGGTACATGTCTGTGGACATGCCATAGAGAAAGAGAAATTAATGGGTCTGTACTACTGTGGGCTGTTTCGTGGCACTAATTTCCATAGTATTTTGATGGAAAACAATGTTATGGGTCCCAGGAAAGCCTTCTTAAATTTGATTTTTCTGCTTATGGACCTAGTCTAACTGCCACTGACATCAGTGGTGTCTTACAGGTGTCTTTAGTGATGGATGTATTGAAGGTTCATGTGAATTCAAGCCTCTCCCAAATGAAAAGGTGCCTTAATTAATACGATACTGTCCCTCCTTAATGAATTGGCAGTAATTTATTTTCAGTTACTTGCCTTATTGCCCAGTTGTTTTTACTGGCTCTTTAGTTTTATTTGCATTTTTTTGGAATAATTCTCCTGTCTTGTCTTGTTTCTCTAGCCAAAGCCACACTTGTACATCTCTTCTCCCCCAAGCCATCTTATTCTTTGGGAATATTTGAGGGCAGCGGCAGTGTAAGCCCTGGGTAATGTGGGCAGCCATTTAAACTGTGCAGTAGGCACTAGCCATTTGCTGGAGTCTACTGATCTCAACATTAAAGGAACTAGAGAAGCCAAATCAGGCTGAGTTCTAAGACTTAATCTAAATAGTCCTTTTGGAAGAGGGCAAGAAAAATAGTCCTGCCTCCCACATGCTAAAATTAGGCCTTTTCCTTCTTGCACCTCTGGTAATGGAAGTGCACCACACTCAGCCCAATAAAAAAGTATTCCTCTGTCCTCTCCAGAGTTGAAAAGCTCTTCCTTGTGCCGGCGGTGAGAGTAGGAGGGTCTGCTGATAGGCACTGTCCCTGCCTACAGCCATAGTAATGCAGTCGATAGCTAAAGTGAGGGTTTGCGGTATCAGGAAAAAGATGGAAAATTTATTCTTTTCATTTGTTTGAGGCTACAGAATTTTCAGTTTGCCACTGAAAGCATGACTGCTGCAAAACATCCAGGCACTAGTGGGCCTCCTAAAGTTCACTTTGGAATCCTAGTTTTGTTAAGCAAATATTATCCAGAAGGCCTTGATTATAGAACAGAGTTGTATGATAGCAGGACAGCTCCTGAAAAACACAGGTTAGAAAGCATCTTTTTTGCTTAGAACTGTGAATGTCTCTCATTGAAACTACATTAACTGATGGATAATGAAAACAACAACAGTAATTTATGTAGAAAACTTTTTAAATTTCCCATAATAGGTCAGGTGAGCTTTCTTCTTGCTATGCATTCCACATCTGATCCATATAAGATTGCATTCCACAACTGATTGATTTTAAGTTGCACTAAAAATTGTGATTGTGTGAATGAGGAAAATAAAACAGCATGGTATAAAACATATCTGACTGCACTTGATCCACCCCTGGCTCAGTGTCCTTGGCCCTGAAAAAGTCAGTAATTGGGTAAAGACCCTAATTATCATTTCTTGTGTAGAAGAAAATGATGAGTAGTATCATGTTGGGGTGAACTGGCACCCTCTTTGAGACCAAAGCTTTCAGTAAAATGAAGAGGAAAATAATGAATTTGGACAATAAGCTTTGGAAGGGACAGAGAAAACAGTCCCAAATCCTGGGTCATTGACTTGTTATGTTTTATACCAGTCAATGTGCTGCAGCTTACGTAACTTTTATTAATGTTTCAGTGCAAAAGATGTATCACTTTCCAATTTTTGTCATTACCTTTTTTTTTAGTGCAGTGGTGTGTCGAATAAGGATTGAGTCATTAATTATTATTTAATCATGTCTCTACGTGGATTCAATGAGACATTTTGTGAAGGAAGAGAGGGCAAATGGAGTTGTCACTGAAAACTATTTTAGTGTTTACGTTGCATCACAAGTGTAATCTGGTTTAGAATCAGTGGAGTCTTATCACTTTTGTTCTTTTAAAAGCTTAAGCTCATGAAGTCACGCGTGACAATTTCAGACTTCCGTGAAAAGCTTCCGGCCTTCAAAGGGGAGGGGGAAGGAATCATAAGGAAATCATGAACCTAAGCCAATCTCATGATTTGGGCACACTTGAAGATGGCATTGTAGCATAAGCCACTTACAAGGCCTTGGATCATAGGGACAGCCTTTTACATTGTGCAGATGGCACTACTCATTTCCCAAATCCCATTGATGTAAATCTTAAAGGTGCTGCCTAAAACAAATTAAGCATGCTGGTTAATTCATATGGGAATGGTCTTCATGCAGTTCTTTACACCTTGTTAAGGCTTCTTCTCCTGCCAGTCACCATACCTCAACAACAGGTTCCCAGCCCTCCTGGGGAAGATTTCCCTCACTCTCGTGCTCCAAACAGGGAAATGTGGTTGTGAAGCCACTGCCATGACACCTCCACTACCACACATGCATACTGGAAACCAAGATGTCAAGAGCAGAACCAGGGTGCTTTGGCATGGCTTCACCACTTCACATCCAGGGTTGGTATAAAGAAGCGAGAATGAATGAATGGGGCATGCCTGCTACTGTCCCTTGTCTTATGTACTAAGTAAGATGGCCTTTACTTCAATCCAGCCCTGGAGACTTGATTCAAAGACTCCCTCAGAGCGTTATGCCTTAATTAGGTTTTGCCAACTTCAAGGCTACAATCAGTGTCAGGGCTGTTAATAGCCCTGCCTGACAGTGGTCCAGATAGGCTAGAAGGATTAACTGTTCTCTGTGCATGTTGGGCAGTATTCTGAATGCCAGGCAGCTTCCTCCATGTAGCTTAGTCTGTGTTTAAATTCAGCTTAAGTAGGCCAAAAGGGCCTGCCTGAATGAGGATTTTCTTATGGTCTAAGAATCAGTGCTGGGTCCCCATGTGATTTTCCCCATACTGCTGCTACTGGAGCTAGAAAGGAGATGTAGCAAAGTAAGCTTGGCTGGGGTCACAGTCTCATCTCCATCTTGCAAGTCAGCTGCATCCCTGTATCGGTTGTGTAGCATGAGTATGCTCTCTTCCTACCATGTATAGTGTAGCCCGTCTGGCATCAGTAGTATCTTTACTGTTTTTGCATGATGCCTTCCCATGGCATTTTGTACAGCGAGGTTAATAATGACTAACAGCTTTCTTAAATAATAGCTCTTGCTTGCTGGGTTAGGATTTTCCTTGTCTTGCGGCTGTCTGGCCAATGTCTGAAGTGGGCAGGGAAATCAGGAAAGCAGTTAATGGGAGTAGCAGAGGCTTATACAATCTGCTTCTCCATTTGGGGTTAATTAAGTTCAGAATCCCTGTCGAGCAGACTTCAAAAACTTCAGCCCCAAACTGTAGAGTTATTAAGCTATTATTAAAATAAATTCAGGAATCAGGATAACTAAAGATGTAGTCTGTTTTACAGTTGCTGTGTGACAGATAAGATCACTTCCTTTTCTTTAAGGATCATCTTTCAGTACAAGTCATTTTGAGAGGGCATGTCTTGGAGGAAAAAGGAATTCTACAGGCTAACTGAGTTTGTGACAAAGCAGTGTTGTTCCTTGACTGCACAAGCTGTTCTCATATAGCTAAAATTTTGAGTTAAGTTAACAAAACAACAAGAATAAACAAGCAGTCGTTCCAACTCCCTGCTCTGATGCTGTGCAGCCACATCTCAGATCTGTGTGACAATTGCCATTTGTAGTGCTGCATCTAGACAGAATGAGGTTGGATTAAGGGGCAGTATGCATACCCAAGTCCTTTACCTTGTTTACTTGCCTGACCCTACCTTAAGATTTAGATGTCTCTATACTTATAACTTCCTGCCTAGGTAGTGTAGATGAGAGAGAGGATTGTTCCTGACATCTTTTAAATTCTTTTTTTCTTTCCAGCCTTAACATTGCTTTCAGGGTATGTAAATCTAATAGGTCCTTGATCTTTGTGTGCCTTCGATTATATTTTACACCATACTTTAAAACCATATCCAATAACTTAATGTAGACACCAATTGAAAAGCAACTCTGTTTGGCTGCTTCTTCCTGAAAATCTGCTAAATTTTGTTGGTCTCCCACCCCACTTCTCAGTTTAATGTGCAGAGCTCTGTTTTTAGGCAGCTCATGTAAAATTTTCAACGCAACTTTAAGACTTCATCTTTTAAGTCACTTTGAATTTTTAATCAGGTCTTAAGCTTCTATGGGCATGTCTACACATGCATTAATGTGCCATAGTTACTGCGCATTAAGTTTAGTACCTGTAATAACAGGTACTAACTCAATGTTCAGTAACCAGCACTGCTCCACAGGGTTGCGGACACATGTCTTTCTAGTGACACTAATGCACAATAGAATAATTCTAAAAGCATTAGCACAGCTTTTGCTGTGACGCGCTAATGCGCAGTAGAATTACTCTACCATACATTTAGCGTCTCATGTAGACATGCCCAGTGTCACTTAAGCCCTCATCCTGTGAAACTTAAGTATGACTTGGCTTTACTGTTGTGAATACTTCCATTGAAATCAACAGAGCTACTGCTCCCTGGAGCAGACCTAAGCACATATTTCAGTACTAGGCTCTTAAATATTTTTTAAATTGGGATTTATGCTCTGAGTGCATTTTGTTTTTTAAAAGTGACCTCTATAACCAAAGTGCAAGCGATTCATCCAGTAGCTTTACTATAAAATAACCATTTTGGGTATTTTGAGAAGACAGAGGTGAAAGTTAGAGCTTGTATAGTTGTATCATTCTGTTCCTTTTCTGCTGCTTTTGCACAATTTGCGTCATACGCTTTGTAGTGTGTTTATTGGCCTGTCTTTTGAGTGTTTCTTTGGTAATACAAGTGGCAATACTATGGGGCTTTTAGTGTAACATTCCATTAAAAGGATCCAATCATCGATAGTGATTTTAATAGGTAAAATTCCATTAATTCATTTAAAGGAGAGGTGGTTTTTCTGTGTGTGTGGGTCTTATCCTGATATGGTAGTTGTTATATAGGCCATTCTGATATTCAGTGTTTTTTCTTTCTGTTTTACTAATATAATTCAACAAAAAGCCAAAAGAATCTGTTATAAACTAAAACAAAAAGAAAGTTTTAAATGTTGAGACCATCTTACTCATCAAACTCCCCACTTTCATATTGTACTGTACTGAAGGGAATGCTTTTTGCTTTCTTTTTATCCTTTTCTTTTTTTTAAACTTAGTTCCCCAGGGAATAGAAAACATATGAAACAGGTATCACAGGAAGCAATTGCAAATTAAATAATGCTGTATGAAGTGATGCTACTGTATAGTGCCTCGTCCAACATAATGGGCAAATTAAGGCTATCGAGGCCACTGTAATTTCATGTGTTCTTCCTTTTGTAAATTTTCCTACTCCTATCTTAATTTTTAAAGGGACACTGTCAAGTCATATTTGAGAGCTTACTTGTTGACAAAAAAAATCAGAGTTCTTAAAATATACATAAAAGTGAATATTTAATACGGCACTTGACAGATCAGTATCATTTACTATTCCTATGTATTAGCACAATGCTTTTATATTTGGTTTTCCAGCATTGTAGAGATTTGAAGGGTATTCCTTGAAATAAAAGTGAAATTTATATTGTTACATAAATCTACATAACAGCATTTACAAAATCTAAAATTTCGATATTTGACAGTGTCTTCACTGTTTTTATCCTTCCTCCATAGCATGTCTCTGTGTGTACATGCCTGTGTATATATATGTATCTTTTTTGTGCAGCATATATACATGAAAGATGAGCTTTGAGGAACAAATTCATTTTTTTGAGAAAAATATTCACATTCATGGTAATTGTGGGCAAGATTCTTTGGGTGAACACGATATCTTTTATTAGACCAACTAAACAGTTGGAAAATTGTTCTTTGTAACTTTTCGGGCACAAACACCGTTTTTCAGGTATAGGGAGAGTTTGTTCTTGTTTGTGTGCTCTACTGGGTGAAATGGATTTTTTAAAACGCTGTTATGTGTAGTATCAAGCCTCTTATTCTGTTGAAAAGTTGTTGTTTTCCCCTTGAAGATAAAACGCTATGTTTGAGCAGAATTTTGTGTTTAAATAATAGGTTGATGTAGATACCTCTGAGTTTTAAAACAAGTTATATAAGAAATTCCAAAGAATTGTAATAAACACCATTTCTGAATTGATATGGGCAAAAAAATAATTATTGGGAGAAATAAAATTAGATATATGAATAAGTATGCAACACATTCCTGGAATTTGTCAGTGAGTGAGAGGAACTATATAATTTAAGTAGACACTGCAAAGATGCAAGAGAGAGAGTGAAGAAAATGTCAGAATATCCTCCCTAAACTTCTGTCCCTTCAAGTTTGGATATGGGAGTAGTAGGACTCAATTTTGTTTTTTGCCAAACCACGCCTGAGGTATTTAAAAAGCAAATATGTGCTTCTGTAACCTAGGCAAAATTAGGTATATTAATTGGTACACATGCAGTCACACGCTCAATTTTGTGCAGGGCCCCAAACATCAGGTCTGACTTCTATTTAAATACCTTAGTCTCATGGATCAATTGTGGAAAAAGTCCTTCTATCTGGAGACATTTTATGTAAACAGTTGGAAATGAGGTGCTGAAAATTATCACAGTGTCTCTCTAAATAAGGGTAATTTAAAGCTTTAAAAAAAAATGATTATAATACTAAAATGTAGCTTATTCATTGTTTGTTCTATCTGACTTTGCTTTGCAAAACACAGGCTAGCTAGCTGAATCCAGTTCCAGGTAGCTAGCAGTAGCTTTTGCAAATCAGTTTCCATTTTTGTTTGAACTGACCCATTCATTCCTGTCTTTCATCTATCTTTATGTTATACCTTTTGGTTTAACATTGTTCTCCTCCCACCCCAAATTTTTCCCTTTCTTCTTATTGTAAACTCATGGCAGGGCCTGCTTGGTGAACTCATTCTGTTACAACAGCAAATCCAGCAGCACGAAGAAGAAGCACGCAAAGCCGCTGACCAATATAACATGGGCTCTTCCCAGCAGAAGGCAAAGGTGATGGCTTAAAGGGCACTATGTACTTTATTCGTACTAATCAAATACTTCGGCCTCCTTTGTTTGATGTAGAAGAATCTAATTTCTGTCTGCTTATGAGCCCAGATAATTTTTGCAAAAGTATATTTTACAAGAGTGTCTGATATAAAATTGGTTCTACTTCCAGTTGACAGAACTGATTTATGCCTTTAAGTACGTTGTTAAAAACAAACAAGATATTCTTGAGCAGTTTCATAAGTAATTTAATTTTCTGTTTTTAAAAGCTTTTTAACATGTTTCTTGCTTCTAAATATATTATTAAAAGGTATTATGTTTGGGATTTGTGGAGATGAAATTAGGTAGTCATTCTTAAACTGAGTAAACGCTGGCTACTTTCCTAATTTGGAGATTGGACGCAGGAATTAAAAGTATATCCCAGATGTTTCCTCCCGAGGTTGGGAACTAAAATGCTGCTTCAGCAGCCAATTGTATTATGTTGGAATAAAACTATAAAAATACCCCTTCCCCAGTGTAGTTAGAATGATTGATTATATCATGTGACGAAATTATTAGTAACATGATACGACGTTCTAGGAGATTGCTCAGATGTTAGCTATCAGCCACAACTTTACTTCTGTATTTATACACCATCTTGTTTGCCTGGGTATCCAAGTAATCGTCCGTAGCCCCTCTGTTGGACACAGGCGGGTTGTTTTACGTGGTTGATGTCGATGCCAGCATTAGAATTCTTTTATCCATCAGCCTGCATCTGGAGATGTTTATTAAGTTGGAAAGTTTTGGTAGTTTGAGGCACTTCAGACCTAATTATTGGAGTGTATTCTTTCTTGCTTCTGTGATTGGAAATACATTTTGGTGCAGTTCCTGTGCTCACAGAATTGCCCCTTTTTCCTGACCTTCACTATTCCATAGCTCTGGAAACAACCACTGAGCTTAACTTCCTCTACATCAGAAGATGGACACAATAGAGAGGTGGAGAGATCTGTACATTGTGTTGTGTGAATTTGTGTGACATTTCACTGAGGTATCCTGAAGGAGATCATTTTTCAGTCTCTAAAACTGAGGGAGCATTTTTGAGTTTAAGTATTCCATTCCATTTCCAGCTTTCATTTTTTAAATTAGTTTAAATGGTATATACAGTCGTTCACAGGCAGTAAAAACTATTCTTCCTCCTCTGTACAGCTATTGGAAAATGAGTAGGAAGGGAGATGCGTCTCTGGGGGGGGGGTTTCTCATTTATATGTCCCCTTTCTGTTTAGAGAAAATTGACTGGTTCTGCCCTCAGTGGGACCACTCACTGTGCAGTAAAGGGCATGCACGTGCAAGGCACTGAAATCTAACTACTCTTAAAAATTGCTCAATAGTAGGTTAGCTAGTCCTCCACAGTCATAGAAACAGAGTTCCCATCAAGAGCGATATTGGCATTAGAAAACCAGAGGTACTGTCCATTTATTATATATTTCCTGTTCACCATTTTCTTCTCGTCAGAGGACTCCTCTTCCCCTGCATCGTGCAGCGTCTGTACTAATAGCAGAAGCGGTTAGTGTTGCTTCTTAGTACAGTGTCATATCCGACTGTGCTGGGGGAGCTGCAGTCTGGAACAAAAAGGCAGAATTGGTCCACAGAGCAACTTCCCCATTTTTCTAAAGAGCTTTTTGAAAGGAAGTCTTCCTACTGGGCTACTTTATGTCTTCAGACTCTGAAGCAGGTGTGTAAACTGGGATACCTAAAGAGTCAAAACAGTTGCTGGAAAAGGAATGTCATACTTGAGATTTAAAACTGTCTCCGTTTTATGAGGAACCAGTGAAAAAGAAAGCATGATATTATTAATCAGTGTCTGCAGGGAATTTTACCTTTTTTGCCTCCAGTTCAGTAGCCTAGTGATTGTAGAAAAGTTTATAGAAAAGGGGCCCACACCTGTAAATGATTTCCAGTTCTGTAAAGATTAATACTAATCGCATTTCTAAAATGCTGTGAGTGTAATTTTCTTTGTAATAACAAAAAAGCTAGCTTTTAACGTTAAGATGTGCTGTGCTATATACATGCCAGGGAAAAGGAAATGTTAATGCATCGTACTTTGTCACAATTAAGCCTTTTACTGTGGAACAAATTGAATGATTGGATTAAGCAGACCACTTGTTCCTGCACACTTTAAAAGGAGGATATAGTTCAGAGATTCCAGCTGTTGATCTAAACTCTGCCTTTGGCAGGCACAGTTTCAGCTCCCACTGAAAACAGCCAGGTTACATTCATTTATGATGGGGCTGAATGTGTTTCACTTTATTTTGCAAGCCTATCTGCTTGCCTGTCGGCTGAAAACCAAACTGACAGAGTTCCATTCGTATCCTTGTTCCTCTTGTTTTTAATATGTCATAGGCATTTTTGTCGGTACGAGATTGCAATGAATTAATCAAGCAGTAAAAGGCTGTGCATGCATTGTGTTATGTAGAGCTTTTCAGTAATGTTATAAAAGAAGGAACTGTAAACTGGCCAAACTATTTCTGTTTTTCAGGTTTTTTTCTTAATTTCTCTTCAAAATAGTCTAGATGTTCTCTTTAGAAAGAACTATACATCCAGAGGACACTTGTTATCTCTGTTCACTTTTAATACAGTTTTTATAACTGTCAAAAGGGAATTCATTCCCATTGGTTTTTTTTTCATTTTATTTATTTTCCATTGGGTTAAATGTTGTATTAAGGTGGGAGGTTTTTTGTTAGATAGCAACAACTTGGATAGTTGCCTCTTGTAAGCATTTCTTTGTGCTTTTTCATTTTCAGTATTGTCACTAAGAGTTGTCCCTGGTTTGGTAGGGGGGGAGGGAGTTTGTGATGCCGTATCCCATTATTAACTATGGACTGTAGGTACCTACAGGGATTTTCAAAAGCACCTAATATTCAGACACGTGACAATGTTAATCTTGTTCCTCAACATACTGCAGAAAGGCGGCTTTATTAGTGATGCGTTCAGTGTAAGAAGCTTTGAAGAATAGAATAGAGGCAATGTTTTTGAAAATCCTAGTGGATATTTAAGTGCCTCTTTACACATCAATACCTTCGGGAAGCTTACCCTTTTTTAAAAAATAATTTTTATTCGTGAACTGGAGGGAAAAATCACAAGGCATTATACAGCAGAGTGAAAAATAAAAAGGTTCTGTGGGGTTTTTTTTAAGTAAGCATTTGGTAAAGTAGGACTGTAAATTAGGCATGTGTGACCATGTTGTTACTTTGTAATTTGGCAGTAATTATGGTGCTTATCAACAATATAGAAACACTTGGGAGTATTGGGAATGAAATCCTCCCAGTGAAATCTGTGAAGGTGCCGACTACAACCATATGTACAAGCTCACCTGAACGACATACCTAAAAATTTGATGGTGTTTGCACGCTGCAGTTTCATTATACTGCTCTGATGGTGCACATTCATTTGGTCGTCTTTGACCTATTTCTGTGTCTGTCCTGGAAGTGTCCCAAGGCTGGGTGTTTCCTGGCTGCAGTCTGTGCCCCTCTGTTGTTCTCAAACACCCTAATGAAGGCACAGCGCTTTTTCAGACTCTGTTTCCTCATTAGTGGCATTTTGTGATGGGCAGCAAGCCGTCCTTCTTCGTGTTGAGTGACTGCTTCTTAGTTTCTGTTCCATGCTTTCTGTATTTGGGGTTTAGAGATGGAAAGAAATGATGGTCCATTTCTAGCTCTTTATTTTCACTGGTTAAAAAAATCCACCAAGAATAAGAACCCAATTGGATGCAGAATGGATTTTCATCTGATATTGCCTATTGCAAAGTAAATACATGGTCATAAGTTAAATGGTTTCAATATTTCAGTCACCATAGGTGGGTGAACTGCCAAATCTACAAGCAGTTATTATGAAATTGAAATACTAAACTTGTGCCCTGTAAATTTGCATCTGTACATTGTGACACTCTCTTTGGTATAACATGAATTTGTCTGAGTTGCAAATATTTTACAGTGGCTTCATTTTAAAAATCAAAATTGATTTTATTATTATTTTTTTTCTGACATTTTTAGGAGCATTTATTTTTGCTAAATTCAATCATTTGTCAGTTATCTTCTAAGCTTTACATAATGGCTGTTATCGGATCACGTGTGCTTGTATTCTTAAGTTTTTGAAGAAATAAATGGAAAATTGTTTTAAATGTCTGATTTTACTATTTTTAAATCTGTTTTACCTTACAGATTTCTGTTTTAAAAATTGATTTAAGATTTCCATGTATGAAATGGAGTAAGATCAGACTTCATTTCACTGGACATTTAACATCTTTACCTTTATAATCACGTGTCCATGTCCTTGCCCATTTGTAATGCTGTCTGAATGATCATGTGGGCCAGCATAAAGCAACCTGGGAGGACTATATGGACAAAAGGAAGGGATAAAATAGAAAAACAAACTCAGCACTTACCTAGTAGAACATTCTTGCTTTATTTAGGTAGCTAAGTCCCAACACTACTCAGTTCTGTGCAGGACACGCAATGTATTTCCCCCCTTGGAGGTTTTATAAACCTCAAAGGCAAACATTAGGCACGAATGCACTACAAAATTCAGAGACTATTGATAGTTGAGTTGTTGAAAGTAGTATCAGTAGCAAATTCTTGAGTTAGTGTTTGCATCTTCAAAATGCTGTATTCATTAAATTACTACTGTAGCTGCAAACAATTTAGCCACCCTGAAGCCACAACTCAATTTTATTTATCCTCCAAGTTCTATTTTTCTGTATTGGGTCTTGAAAGTGTGTATTGCAAGATAAAAAGCTTGACTTGATTTTATATGATCTTTCTGTTCTGCATGGAAACTTCAATAATCTTTAAGCACCAAATGCTAATTGGACTTAACAGCTTGATTTGATTGAAAATGCATGCAAAATCAGTTTTTTCTCTTATGTTTAATAAAACTTTGGCTTTGTGATTCATTTGCACCCTAAGGGTAAACTAGATGTTCTGTATGTCAAGAAATAGAAATATTAAGAAATATTCTTCATGTTATAGGTCTCTGACAAAGACAAAATTGATCAGCTTCAAGAAGAACTTCTGCGCACTCAGGTACTAAACCCTTCCCAAAAAAGAGCCCAAAATGAGGGCAACAGTGCCAAACTTTTGAACAAAATCTGTCTGTGGTGTGAAATGTTAGCCAAAAAAATGGAATTAAATTGTATTAGATTATGGATCCCAAATTTCTACAATGTGGCTATGATACTTCATCCTTAATTCACCAGTGTTAGTTTTTACTTTTAAAATTTAAAAGTGGTCTTGATTTGTTTTGTGACTATTCCTTGTATGTAGCTGCGGGGTCTAGTATGTTTGACTGGCACACTTTTGCTTCAGGTGGGAAATAGGATTACATGTAAAAGGATTACATCTTAATTTCTCAACCTGTGAAATGTCATTTCTAGTAGAGACGAGCACAGTAGAGACGATATGCATTAGCTGATTCTACATAAGAGGTTGAATATGAAACTACATAGTTCTGTTTTGGGGAAACACCACAGATGATGAACTGTTGCTCTGTTTACGCTCATAGTGGCCCGTGCAAGAACCAAATGTGCTTTTTCTTGTCCCAGCAGACAATTTACATTGTTGGCTGAGAATTAGTTAAAATAGTTAGTAGTCTGTCAGATTGATTTATTGATTCATAAATTTCTCTCCTATATAAAGCCATTTTTGCAAGAGGAATATTTTGCATTATCTTTAATTTGCATAAAATTACTAAGGGTAAAGTAAGAGATTTTGGTATATTTCTGTTTATCTGAGGGCTTTGAGAATCTGAAACCAACAGCAGTGTTCAGGACTGTTCTTTCTTTAACAAACCTGAACTATGCTAACAACTGTAGGCAAAAAAGCCTGTTAATGATCTGATCATCTTCATCTGAGGAAGTGATCTGTTGTTCATGAAACCTTATGCTAATGAAAGTTTATGCATCTCTGATTCACTTAGTCTATAAGATGCATCTCTACCTTGCCTACTTTTTTATAACTGAGAAGTATTTTGTTAATAGTTTTGTTCATAAAATTCTTATATTAATATACATTGACTTATCTGTACCCATTATTTTTTATTGTTGTTCTAATATTTGTACTTCTGTTTTGTAGCTCAAATATCAACGAATGCTTGAGCGCTTAGAGAAGGAGAATAAAGAATTAAGAAAGCTGGTCTTGCAAAGAGATGACAAGGGCATTCATCAGAGGAAACTAAAGGTACTCCACCATGTATCTACACAGCAGTAAGGAATCCAGATGAAGCTATGAGCCCCACCACTCCAAATCACTTTTCTTATATCAGTCTTTAAGTAGGTGAGACACTTTAGGTGTCTCATGAATAGTCCTTTGCAGACTTGTCCATACTTCATTTCTAATTGGGCATTATCTGTATTTTATTACATGTAGCAGTAGTTTCATACCAAAAACAAAGCTGAAATTGCTAAGTTTATCCATGTAACTACATAAATAAACAAATGTATATGTGGATTGGGCAGTATTATATAACTTCAGCCTGTTTGATTTTTAACTATAGGATGGTTTTGCTGTTTCAGTACAAATGCTCTGGCGCCTCCATGATTTGCAGTGGGTAGTTTGAAACGTGGTGGGGAAAACAGTGCTGAGGTCAGGGAGACATCTTTTGATGTCCCTATTTAAATCCAGGCAAATTTACAAAGTTAAGAGCTGTTGATGAAAACATTCAGAGTGTTTTGCTAAATACAGCTTATGCTTAGCTTGCTACCAAAAAACTGGATGTTGTTTGGATGACACGCATGTGCTGCTTCTCAGTGATCCATGTACCAAGTGCTGCCAGAGGGAGTTGAAGTGGGACCAAGCACAATGTGCACTTAGCCATCCTTGCTGGGCAAACCCCTGGGAATTGAAAACCTACTTTTCAGATATTTAATTGCACCATTTCAGAATTGGTGAAGTCTGAATGTTCAGCCATGCTGTCTGTAAAATCAGATATCTCTAACCAAACCCTACTGTTTCAGTGAACTATATATCCTCCTGTAGTGGCTTGTTTGCAAAGGACAACAAATTACATTTGGTGCCAGCTCTTTGTGGTTAATATGGTGATCTTGGCTGCAGTACTAAATGTTCAGGGCTTAAGCCCTTGAGAGATAAGCATGCAGGAATCCTCCTTACAAGACATAGGTGAAATTTTTTTACACTTGGTCTCAGCTCTGCTAGTTGGCTCTCTTCCCCTTATATTTTCAATTCTTTTTAGAAATCTTTGATCGATATGTATTCTGAAGTTCTAGACATTCTGTCCGACTATGATGCCAGCTATAATACCCAAGACCATCTACCTCGGGTAGGTTTTAATTCTTTGCTGGGGATTTGTATTTGGCAGAAAACATTATTTTGCACAGGTAATATTATTGTACTTATGTAAAAGTTGCATGTACAGGTCAGCAGACCCAAAATTAAGAGTTAGCAGCAATTTTTATGTTACTTGCAGAAAGATCAAAAGACTAATTTAATTGGAGGGCATTTTCATATACTCAAGAATAATTAAAAATTAAAGGCAGTCCATTGTCCTTGGATTTTTACACACATTGTCAGTTGAATTGCTTTTTTTCTTTTTCTCTTTTTAAAAATTATCAAATACTTGCACTTAATGTGAATCCCTTCGTTTTTTCGGATGAAGATGTGGTTTCTGCATCCATGCTTTCCCCTGCAGTTTCTGGTTCACATCTAAAATGGAAAGAGGCGTGTTTTCCAATGTAGATATGACCAAAACCTTGTGAGAGCAGGTCGTATGTCTTTAGGCACCATTGAGTCAAACCTTGGTTAAGCCACTGGCAAGTTCTAACCATGGTTCAGATCCAGACTCTACTTTTTACTTTTAAATAACCTAAATAAAAATCTGAATTGTTAGATGATTAAAACTAGATATTAAGGAATCACTTATAACACGTTTCCTCTCAAATCTAATGTAACCTGTAGGCCTGTGCGAAGCGGCTAGTATTTGCTTTGGATTTGGATTCAGCCAATTCAGAGGACAGTGATTCGAATCACTGTCCTGATTCAATTTAGCCACATCTGATTCAGAGATTCGGCTGCTGCCGAATCTCTGAATCAGCCAGGCCCATCCCCCCCAGCCCGGCAATGGCTGACCTGCCCACCCCAGCTCTCAGCTCTTTGGGGAAAAAAAGCCCCAGTGCTCACCGCTCCTGCCAGTGGGGGGCAATCCCCACTGCCCCCCATTGCCCCATGCCACATGGGAGGCTCTGCACGAGCCCCCCAAGGCCCTGGTAGCAGCATTGAGTCCCAGGGCTTTTCTTGGTTGTTTTCTTTTCTTAAAGGGCCGGAGCTGGCCTGGGCAGAGTGCCCGTGGGGGGCGG